TTATGTTCTGTCCTGAACACAGTCTGCTTTCCTGTCTCTGGGACTTGCCCCTGCTGTGCTATCGGCCAAGAAGATCCTTAACTCTCCACTTTCTGCCTGCTGCAGTCTTTGTCCAACTACCAAAGCACCTCTCTGAAGCCTGGCTTGATTTCCATGGTACTTTGGACTTATTCTGTAGTATTTTCATACCCAGAATTATTACGGTTGAACCAAATAAGCTCTTTTCTTCACCAGTGGAATGTATCTATTTTCTTTTTACACAACAACCAAAAAACAATAGGATACAAAACTTTTAAATTTTACAGTCATACAGCACTGAGCATTATGCAGCTGGTTTGTAATTGTGAGTCTCGCAAGTGCAAAAGTCCTTGGTATCTGGAGTAGGCTAAACAATGGCCCACTATTTCTTTACAAGGCAAAACTGCCTTTGCAGATGTGATGAAGTTAAAGATCCTGAGATGAGGGGTTAATCTGGATTACCCAGTGGTCCCTAAATGTAATCACAAGTGTCCCTAAAAGAGAGAGGTTTCACCACAGCAGAAGGCAATGTAATCACTGAAGCAGACACCATGCTGCTGGCTTTGAAGATGGAGAAGGGGCCACAAGCCACGGGGTACAAGAAATGCAGCTCTAGAAGCTGGAAAGAAAAGGCAAGGACACAGATTCTCCCCAGAACCCCAGAGGGAGCACAGCCCTGCTGACAACTTGATTTCAGCCCAGTGAAACCGATCTCAGACTTCTAACCTCTAGAACTGTAAGAGAATAAATATGTGTTAAGCCACCATGTTTTGGGTGATTTGTTATAGCAGTCACAGGAAACTAATACAGTATTCATGCCAGAGAGCAAGTTTTTCCTCTCAAGCAAGAATCCCTTTCTGACCAAAACCCTGAAACCCACAGTGTTCTCCAATCCCTGCCATGGAAACCACCATCTGCTCCTCCCCAGTGCGGTGAACTAACAGACAGAAAGAAACAGGCAGTCAGGGAGAAAGTCTTGAAAGGCTATATTGAGTAGGCCATTCAAATCCTTACCAATTTTCATTTTTTTCTCTTAGTAATTTCTGGTCCTACTCAGCAGATAGAAAGGCAGTGGGAGAAAATTCTGACTTTCGCTTTTGAAAATTGTGGAATTATTAGTTATACATTTAGAAGGAAGACTGCTTTAACGCTTCAAAGAATTGGAAAAAATTAACATTTTTCCTAATTGGTTTTCTCAGTGACTCCCTGTTCCCTCCTCCCCACCCCTCCAACACACACTGTGGGGGCAAACTGAAACTCATACAAAATAACGCTATCTCTGTAAGAAAATGAAAAGTCCAATAACATGTCCCATTCTGCTGGTATTTAAGGTGGTAATAAATTTACTTATTCTTTCAAAACTCATTTTCTCCCTAAAACTCTAGAAGTATGTAAATTATCCTTCCACTTCTCATCTGCCTTACTTTATAGTGCAATTAAACTGGCTCCTTTTCACCTCAAGAGTTTTTCATGTAACCACATTTACTGTCTATTTTGGGGGTTTTGTTGTTTGCTCATTATTTTCATTAAAAAAAAAACAAACAGAGTTGCCCTATTTGCTTTAAGATGACTGACAGCTTAGGAATATAGTGACTTTAAGATTACTGACAGCTTAGAAATACAGTGATTAACAGAAAAATAATTGTGCTCTACATGTAATTCTAATCTTTGACCCTCTATGGCCCCCCAAAACTCTAGTTATTAATCTTAACTCACAAACTCATCATTATCAGAAAACATCTATGCCCTAGAAAATTTATGTATGCCTACTCCAAAAAACTAACATCGTCGTACGTTCCCAGGTGATTTTTATCTATTCTAAAGACCCTACCAAAAGATGTAGGTCTTGCCTCTGGTTGAAATTCACATACATACTCCCTAGTTGTTTTTTCGTTTTTGTTTTTAATGAGTCACTCTGCCTTATAAGTGTAGCAACTTTATAACTAAAATAGGTTTGAAACCTTATTCTTCCCTACAAGAACATGAAAGAAATTCTGCTCCTAACCACACTCCAAACAACAGAAATTCAAAGTAGAGAAACTGAAGCGAACCCCCAGATTCCACATGTATATTATTTTTAAGGATTCACCCTACTTCAGAGTCACACAAAATAACAGAAGATGCTGGAAAATACAAGCAAAATTTAAAAGAATAAGTTTTTCAAGATTCATTTAGAGCTCATTAAGAAATCATTTATATATCACATGCAACTGACTTTCCCTATGCTTGATTTTTTTTGTAGTTTTTTTATATCCTCAGATAAGATTTTATCGAGAAAACCACTAAGAAGCCCCAACACCCTTTCATACTTCATCACACAGAATTTTCTTTCCTCTTGCTCCCAGGTGGCTGAACAGAAGCATGCATCCACAAGTGCTTGTTTTTGTTACAGCTGGGTTTTTATATACACTTAAAATGTGGTTACAGAAAAAAAAAAACAACTAAAAATAAGTGAAACTAGAAGTGTCAATCCCATCCTTGAGAAGGCTGAATTGGTTTTACAGAAGTGAGCTCAGTACTGACAACTTGCAGGAAAAAGTGCAGAACGAAGTTAGAAGGGTCAGTGGGTGACAGTCATGATTCATTTTGCAAGCGGGCCTGATGCAATCTGAACATTAGTGTTAGCAGAATAGAAACTTCACTCTGGAGCTACTACTGTATAAACATATTACATGTTATTGGGTCTCATACACCTCCCAGTTTACAATTTTTTGATCTGTAAAATAATTTCTAGAAACAAAATTCCACGTATAATAAGTATTGACTATGGCAATATGATCTCTGTGACCCCCAATTACCTCATCAGGAAAATGAAGATTTATAACAATACCAACCTCATCTATCTCAAGGTGCATACGCACATGCACGCACACACACTCCCCTGCAGATGTATTCTGTTATTCTGCATGTAAGTGGGGTCATACCCATCTTTCTCTGGGTGCTCATTACCCATCTCTTTCTCTGGGTGCCCCCACCTCTCTCTAATATCCTTACTCTCTAATAACTGTCTTGATGCTGCAGCAGCCCCATCTTTATAAGGAAGCACAATGCAATGTGAGGGTCCATACACTCTGGGGCTTGGTGGTTACCTAACCAGCGCGAATATCTGTTATCTGCTCTACGAGTATAAAATAAAGCTAAGAGAACCCTCAAGTAAGATGCATTGAAAATATCAGGTACACGGGAGGTGACCCCATTAAACCTGGCACCTGGCCTGACTTGCGCTGCACGGGGAGGGGAAGAGTACTCTGGACTTGGTCTACCCACAGCCCTCCCTGGTATACAGGAGTGTGGGGCTTACAGAATGTGTACTCATAAGAGATAGCTACACCTGATACCTCTTCCTATGAGCTTACTATAACCATTGTAAGGAGGCCAACATGTACATAGGTCCCCTGCAATTCTCAGCACCAATTAGCCCAGCTAAAGTGAATCCCATAATTCAGCCTCTTCAATCTTACGGCCTTAACAGTTGACTCTTGGGTTGGCACCCTGAGTCTTCCTGGGCTATCGTGAACCAGAACTGCCATCCACCACAGTGGCAACAAGAAGATTATTTGGGGGAAGCCAGGAAAAAACGGATGGCATTCAGAATGTTCTGGTATCAAGCGTATATCCTCCAACCAAAGCTGACAGTGACCAGGAGAATGGTAGCCAGCAGCCCACTGTACGTCTACTATAGTCTGTTAAAAAGTCCTTACCGCACCTTTACTTCCCATTTGTGAACATCAAACATCCCTATTCCAATCGCTGAATTGTTCCGTTCTCCAATGAACCTTTCAGCAACAAAATGTTCTAAGTTGTTATACCAAATTCTGTTATAATTCAATTACTTATTGATGTCAGAACACTGAATTAAATTAATTAGGAGGCATGGCTGGAAAGTCATACTTAATTGAACAGCAGATAAAGGGTCCACCGTGTTCTCAATATTAAGAAACCGCTCTTTCTTCTATGCTGAGTTTTTGGGTTTGCTCTGATCTTCCACAGTGTCTTATGCTCAGCCGTGTCTTACAACCCAGACCACTACTCATCCTCTTTAAGGTGTGATGGGAAATCATAGGTTCATTTTTCCAGGATATTCCCAGCTGAGCTATAATAAAGGAATTTAGGAAAACGGATGATCTCTTCAAATAGCCTGCCTGAGGCAGAAGTAATTATCAGTAAGACAGCAGTGGAGACAGTGAGTCAGATAATGAAAAACTAGGAATGCTATCCAATCAAAACAGGTTGACAAGAAAACACAATGAGTAAATTCTTTCATATAGGTTTTAAACAATTGTTTCAGAAAGATACAAGACGGGCGAGGCACTAAAAGGAAAGCAGGTCCATTACACTAATTGGTTCCCAGTGCCTGGAACATAACAGTGCTCAATGAATGAGTCAACTCCTGCTGTGTGTATGTGGGTAACATTCCACATGGAGACATGAAACCATCTTAATCCTAGATGGCTTTCTCACTACGCCCAGCATATTTTAGAGGATCTTATTAAAGGTCAAACCATTTATGGTCAGAAAGGCACCTTCAATAGTGGCTGCAATATATATAACACAAGGCTAAATCCCATGCCAAAAAATTTACATGATGTATCTGAAAACCACATGAAAATGGAAAATTATCTGCATTACTGCCCTGTTTTATAAAAGGCAGTTTTGTTTTTTATTTAATAGAAACCTCAGATAGGGACAGAGTAAGTTTTAGCTATCATCAAAAATAGCCAAAAGAACCTTTCTAGGCTGGAAGCTCCTAGGGACAGAGGTGGTGCCTTTTGAAACTGTCGATGTTTGCAGGGAATAAATAAATTGTGGTCTGAACGATTGATTCATGCACCCCCAAGAACCTGTAATTGGCATCTACCTTTCAGGGGACAAGAGAAAGCATAAGAAAAGCAACCAACTTAGAAACATAACTGAGAAACGGTTCAGATGGAGCACTGCACAGATTCAAAAATTCATTCAGCAAACATTTACTGACTACCTACCACGTGCTAGGTGCCTGGCACTGTCCTTGGTGCTTCGGGTTTTGCGGCTACAGAACAGTGTCCCTGCCCTCAAGTAACTTGAGACAACCAAATACCATACAGAGGACATAATGCATAGTGCTTACAAAGAACACCCAATAATGCAACTTGGGGAAGCCGGCTTTAAACCAGGGGTGTCAAGATAGGCCTCTTTTTAAGGTGAGAGCTGAAGAATAGGTAACGGGACCGCCAAGGAAAGAGTAGGGGAGCTCAGGGCTGAGCGCTCGGCGCGTGGGGAGCAGAACCGACGCGTGGGGGAGCGGGCGGGAATGGCGATTTGGGGAGCCCGACGGGCGCGTGGGGCGCGGGGCCGAGGGGCGCGGAAGGCCAGGGCGGGCCGGAGGAGGCGCCCGAGCCTGGGGATCAGGCTCTCGGTTCGCCGCACAGGAGCCAGCAGCGGCGCGACACGGTTCCCGTTTAGGGGGTCGCCTCACACTCGCGCCGGCCCCCACACCCCCAGTGCCCGGAAGGCGTCGCTCCCTCATCAACGCGCCGCTCCTCCAGGGTGCTCCCAGGGCAGCGACCCCGGGCTCGGCGGCGGGGAGGAGAGGGCGTCCCGTTCCCGGCGCTCGGTAGTCACCTGAGAGGCTCAGCACCTCCCACTCGTCGGGCCCGCAGAAGATAGCCGCCAGGGCCACCAGCTCCTCCCGCGCCGGCCCCGCCATGGCCGCGCGGCCCCGGCCCAGCGCCGCCCCTTCCGCCGCCGCCTCCAGCCCCCGGAGCAGCGCGGCCGGCGGCCACGGGAGGGCGCCCCGCGTCTCCGCTGCGCGCGGCGGAGCAACACTGGCCGGGGAGCAACAGCCCTAGGAGGTCCTCCCGGAGCTCCTGCTTCCTAACTCCCCGAGGGGGGCTGCGTCTCTTTGGGGGACTGTTCTGGAGGTCCAAGGCCCGGTGGCTCGGAGCAGGGAAAGCCACGGGAGGCCTCCCACTCTTAGCCCAGACCTTGAACACGTACCACCCCGCCCAGACTCGGCCTGGGCTGCGGGATGGAGGACCCCCTTGGGCCAAAGGAATTTGGTTAGGAACAAAAAACAAAGAGGGAAGTGACCAGAAGAGGAGGTTAGCCCTTGTCCGGCTCAGAATTGAACTAGGGGCGGGGGAGACAGACGACATCCTCCGCCCTCCGGGAGCTCGGGGTGACCCAGGCGGTCTGGGGCACTAACAACCCCCAGAGGCTGCGCTGTGCCTGGCGCTGGGACTCAGGACCAGGACCTCTCTCTTTCCCTTATGGGGTGCAAAGGGGAGGTCGGACCTGCCAGCCCTGGCATCTAAGGATGTTACTGGGGTGTCCCAGAACCTTGTGGGGAACTATGCGTCAAGGTGCCCCATTTGCCTCCTGCTGTCACAGGGGGACAGCTCTGCTGAAATCGACCCGTGGAACCCCAGGCCTTTGGGGATAAAATCAAGTGTGTAAACAGCAGACGCTAGCTTTTCAGTATTATTTCTTTTGAGAAATTTGACAGATACAAAACAGTGGGACTCTTGAAGCTTAATGAATGAAGCGATGGTCCTTGAATCTAGCACTTTTATTTAAAACTTTGAGTAATGCTGACAGGGTAACAATGATCAATCCACCTGTTTCAGCTTTAAATTAGTGAACAAGGTTACAATGATCCTCTGTGACACTTCTGTCTGCCAACGTGTTTGGCTTGACTAAAAACTTTTGGGTTTTGAGTAACACATTTAAAAATGTACAGCCCCCCCCAAAGTAGCTGGTCTAGCTCACAGAGGCCCCCCCCCAGCTTTTGTTTGTATCAGAAATAATATCAGAAATTTAGATGGCTGCACGGTGACTCCTGTCATTGACCTACATAACTCAAACCAACAGGACGGACTGTAAGATTCTGAATCCATGTTACCACCGTTTACAGCATTCCCACTGTTGCTAAAAAGGGATTTTAAAAAGGAAGATACTGGGCCGGCCGAGTGGCGCATTGGTTGGGAGCTGGCTTGGGACGCCAGGGGACCCTGGTCCGGATCCCACATGTGAGGGCCAGTAACATTACCCTCTAAAAAAAAAAAAAGAAGATACTGGCTTCTGAGAGCAGAAAGGAAATCCAACAAGATAAGACTGCAGGAGAAATGCTTTCCGGGGGATGCCATGGGATTTCAGTGACCCCATGTAAGTAAGAGCACTGCTGTGCACGTAATTGGAAAGACATGTGTTTATTTAAACTCATAATTATCTCTGATGTGTCCAGTTTGTTTAATAACAATTTTTCAAAACAGTTTTGAGTTATTTCCAAAATAGCAGCAGTATATTAGGTTCATAATTAGCTGTTAAAGAGTTTGGTGAACAAAGAATACATTTTTTATTTAAAATATCACTGTTATTTGAGTTTGAAGCCCAATGTTAATATTAAAAGTGGTAGGAAAGTATTAATTTAGTTATTTCACTTATTTATTAAAGATAGTCTACAAAAAATTAGATAGTTCATACCTTACTTTTAATTTCCCAAACTCACTGTAAGTGATATGAGTGAAATAACATGAATAGTAAGACTACAGCTGTCAGAAATATTAAAAGGCAGTCGCTGAAGCCTGCTGTCATCAAGGTGTCTGTGAAACTGATGTGAGAATACATCAATCTATTGGGTTGTCAGAAAAGTCATGACATATTTGTTTGTTTGTTTTTCGTTGCAAAAATGCGTCATGACTTTTCCAACAACCCAATATTGAAAATTTTCTTGTCAATAGGTTCCTTCATTGCTCTTCCTTTCTTCATTGATTTCTTAATCTGCTTTTCATACTCCATTTAGCATGTTTAAATAAAAAGACGATGTGAATATCTTTTAAATTGACACTATCCTAAGGCCCTGAAGTCCCCTGAATAAGTTTCTGCTCTCTGACATTTGCAAATGATCATCACAGAGACAGCATAATGTCAGCTTGGTATTTCTTGCACTGTGAAAATATCAGCTTCATGTCAAATACCTAAAGCCTACCTTAATGTAATAAATTTTCTTGTATTCACAGGCCACTGAAAATTCTAAATATTTAAATGTGGAATGAATGTCTAGACCTGTGAATGAATGTCTACGTAGAGCAGTCTTTCTTTATCTCTCCCCACACCCCTGTTTCTCTCAGTCTTTCTCCACTCCCCAGCCCCAATAGTGTATGGTTTGCTAGAACCATATGGTTTATACCTGCAGCTTTTCTAAATAGTTGCTTCCCCAAGACTATAAGGAAAAGTTTTAAGTCTCTCACCTCTAGTTAAAACCACTGGCCCAGGAGATAGTTCTTTTAACTCTTCTGGGAAAAGATTTCTACTCATTTTGTCATGAGTAGTATATGTAGACTTAAGTTTTCAACTCTATGTCTGAAATTTTAAGTCCAACCCTACTTGGGCATAGAAATGAGGACACAGGATCTTAAAAGTATTAGGAGAGATAAGTGTTAGTATCATCAAAAATAAAAATTTTTTAAAAAGCTGAGAATCCTAATACTGAAGTGAGTGGGGTGTGATAAGGAAAATTGTCATATTAAGACTATGAGAAAAAGATAATAAAAAGGTCTTCAAGAACCACTAAAAATAGAGAACAAAAGAGGCATTCAATGCCAACTTGCTAAATGAGCCTGATCTCCAAGAAGCTGTGCTACCGGTTTTGTCTGAAGGGTTTCTGTATTTATATATTTCGTAAAATGTTCTTGGGTGCATGTCATTAATGGTTGGTCTGGCTCCATGAGCGGAGTGTTGAGATCAAAGCAACAAGCCCTTGCTCTCACAGACTCCAGTCTTCAGTCTAGACAAGTTCAAACAACGTGCGACAATTACAGGTGCTTTCACCACACAGAAGGTACAGGAATTGCCACATTTTCTTATTGGTGTGAAGTTCAATATCATGGTATAGGTGAAAGTAATATGGTCCTGGGATAGCATGTACCCCCACCACTTCCCAGAGGAGAAATATGTTTGCTATGCTCAGGAATACAGATTTCCAAAAGTATATAAAGTCAGTGGTGTTGATAGGTGATGGTTCTTTCTGTTCTGTTACAGTGTGCAAGTCACAGATTTATTTTTTTTTCACCAAGATAAAATAAAAGCACGTAAAATCTATGAGCATGTGACTCTGACTCTGTAATCGTACAGTTTTTTGGGACGCTCTGCCTCCCCCATGTGCAAATAATCTGTACTCCCTCCAAAAGACTGGCTACACTCTGCCTCTGAGAAACATGCTTGGTTCTTATGCGTGAGTAATATCAAAGCAATTCCAGCCTGCTTGGTGGGAAATGGCCCAGGTCCACGGACGTTAAAGCTCAGTGCCTTATCAGTGCTATAAAAACAAGTCTTCAGTGTCATTAGGGTTTTAGAATCAGTCTAGTTAAAATAACACCCAACGCATAATGTTGGCTAGTACAATAAATGGATTCTTATTCATTCTATTTTCCCACTGTGTATTAGTGGGAAATACACACAGCGTAGCCAGTTTTTATCATCTAAGGGGAGGTTGGGGACTGTGCAACTTTAAAAACATTTTTTTCTCCAAACTCATGAAGGAACTATAAATGAGTAAGCTCTGCCATTTTAGCAAAATAGATTCTCAGTGATTGGAAGTTGAAAGAGAGGTATATCAAAGAACCACAACTATGAGTGGGAAAATTAGACCTGGATTGCCTTGAAAAAAAAAAAAGTTGGGTGGGGGTCCCTGCAGTCAAAAGATATATTAGATACAGACAGAGGGAGGGGGAAAAGGAAGAGAGAAAGGGAGAAAAAGAGGCAGGAGGGGGAGGGACAAAGAGAGAAGAAAAAGGAAGATGAACACTTCAGAAAACAATATAAAACGGATGTTTTTTTATGAAGTGAAGGAAAGCCCGAGTTAGGAATTTGTCTTTATTTCTAGAAGAAGAAGATCAATTTGTTTGCTTTTAAGCAATAGTGAGACCTGGAACTTTATTCGGTAATAATATGAAGTCTGAGGTTTGCTTCAAAATAATGTACGAAGGGGAAAGAGGTGAGGGTATGGACAGAGCTGAGCTAGCCATAGGTTAATGATTGGTGAGGCAGAGTTCTGGGTACAAAAGCATTTGGCATCTTATTGCGTCTACTTTTGTGTATTTTATGTTCCCTACAATAAAAGTTAGTTTTTTTAAATGTACTTCAAGATATTTGAGTTTGTGTAATGCTCAGTTAAGGAACAAGGAACAGAAATAAAGGTGGGAATAGGAGGCAAGGGAAAAGAACCAGGGCTAAGTAGAAAGAACAGAGTTGGTAACAGATATTAGAGACAGAAAAGAACAGATCCTAAAGTAATATGTCTAACAAATGTGTGGCTTAGGGTTAGTCCAGGTGAGAAAAGCACACAGCCCAAAACTTCAGTGGCTTTAACAAGATACAAGGGGTTTTTGCAGATGTTCAAGTTGAAGGAGGCAGGCAGAGCTCGGGTGCTCCTCAGTGTAGGGACCCAAGCCCCTTCTTTTTTTCTCTGCACAGCTTTGATCCCCATGGTCATGCCATGGTCCAGGGTGGCCACTAGACCTCCCACTGCCAAGTCTACATCTGGTCAGGAGAATGGGACCCAGTCCGATCTCACTGGCTAGAATTGAGTCCCATGACCGCTCCCAGCTAAGAGTGGGACTGGGAAATATCATTTTTATTCTGGGAGGCCATGTACCCAGCTGAAAGTGGAGGAAGAAATAAAGTATTATTAGTATTCCTTTCTTGAGATGGAAAAAGAGAAAACATCACTGGGAGACAGCTGGCAGCCCTGCCACATCAAATTGAGTTTTGGTCAAGAAATTAATTTGTCACATAACTTTTTCCCTTCGCGTTTACCATTATCTGAAATAACCTTGTCTATTTATTTGTTTATGTGCTTGTGGTTGCCCCACAGAGAGCAAGATCAGTGCCCACCAGCACTACAAATTGGTGCAGACGTCTAGAGTGATGAGGACACACATGCACCGCGAGGGCCTGGGAAAAGCAGGGCAATTCAAAATGGCCTGAAAGAAGGCGGGGTCCAGTGGCTCTGATGTTCATCATGGTTAGGGATGGGCCAGGGCTAGAGTTCTCCTGTGCACCACTGGGGTTTCTGTGGTCTGAACAAGGAAGGGAGTGTCCAGATTTTCTTACCTGCTTTGCCCAGAGGCGAGGCAGAAGGGGAAAGGGAGGGGTGGGGCTGAACGCTGTCAGTGGTCAGACATCCAAAACAGACAGACATGTTTATTGTCTGTCTCCACTAGAATTTTAACTTCCATGAAGCCAGGGGCCCTATCAGTCCTTTTCACCCCTCAACCCTCCACGTCTAAAACAGTGCCTGGCAAATTATGATTTCAGTAAACATTTATTGATACAAATAAACTCACTGCAAAGTTTATAAACTCTTCATACACTTGCTTATTCAACAGTTATGAGTTTTGGTCAAGAGCATGCACCTACTAAATACATGCTCGTTACTTTATGAAGTCTCAAGCATTTCATGAATAAAGAAGACACAGTCACTGACCTCCAGGAGCCCCAAATCTGGTCTGGGAGAGGCATGCAAGGTGAATGGAGGGCCATTAGAGAAAGGCCAGAAAGCCTGGTTTGGCCATTGTAAAAGGTTTCCCATCATACGAGCAGGAGGAGGAGGAAAAGATGGCTGGAAAGATAGATAGACCTCTGCTTTCATTTTTCAATAAGCATTAATGGAGCATGTTACTATGTGGCAAGTACTGTGCCAGGTCACGCAGCAACTGGTTTGCAACACAGGCCTCTTTAAAGTTGTA